ACTTGTAAAGAAATTACGAAATATTGGGCACTGGTCCATGAGGAGGTGCAAATTTTTTTTGAAAAGGACATTTTTTAAAAAAACCTGAATATTGGGTTGTTGTAGGTTTTTCCGGGCTATATGGCCATGTTCTGGAGGCAATTTTTTCTCCTGACGTTTCGCCTGCATCTATGGCAAGCATCCTCAGAGGTAATGAGGTCTGTTGGAACTAGGAAAAATGGGTTTATATATCTGTGGAATGACCAGGGTGAGACAACAGACCTCATTACCTCTGAGGATGCTTGCCATAGATGCAGGCGAAACGTCAGGAGAAAAAATTGCCTCCAGAACATGGCCATATAGCCCGGAAAAACCTACAACAACCCATGGATTCCGGCCATGAAAGCCTTCGACAATAACCTGAATATTACTTGCTAGGTTTTATGGATTTGGAATTACAGCTTAAGGAAAATGAAGATAAACTATTTACATATATTACTATGGCGGCAAGAATAACCTTAGCAAAATATTGGAAACAGGATAAAATCCCAGAAATTGACTTATGGTTGGAAAAGGTAAGAGAAATAAAAAATATGGACAAATTAACTTAAAAAAAAAAAAACACCGGGAAATCGATAAAGAGGACTGATTGGGTCCTCTTCTGTGACTATGATAAAATGAGAAGAGAACAAGAGTAAGATGTTTTTTGAGAAATGACTAGAAAATAATTAAGACAAAAAACCCGAAGACGGAATGGAAGGCAGTTTTATTTTTATTTTTTTCTCTTTTTTAATTTTTACTATTCCTACTTTTCTATCTCCTTCTAAATATCCCCCCTCTTTCCCTGTAATTATATATAACTTCAATAAAAATTATAAAAAAACAACAACAGAGAGGAAACAAACAAGGACATCTAATCACCTCTCAACAAAAGATTGCCCCAGGCACTGCCAGGCCATCAAATGCTAATCAAGGTGGTCAGTTGAAACATTCACACCTAGCTCTAACAGACAAGAGTTCTTTGTCCCACCCTGGTCATTCTACAGATATATAAACCCACTTTCCTAGTTCCAACAGACCTCACTACCTCTGAAGATGCTTGCCATAGATGCAGGCGAAACGTCAGGAGAGAATGCCTCTAAAACATGGCCATATAGCTCGAAAAAAACCTTCAACAACCCAGTGATTTCGGCCATGAAAGCCTTCGACAGCACCTGGTATCTTCACATGCTTCCCTCCATACACAGTCCTTGAAGAATCTCCGACATTTAGAATTGGCCTTCAATACTGTTAAATTTTAACATACCGAGTTGTGTATTTTTTTTAATCTTGTGAAAGGCTTGTGAGTAAATGCAATGGTTTAATCCAGCACTGGACGCACCAGAAGCAAACCAGGTAAAATCCCATTGTGAAGTCCCATTGATTCTAGAGGGTCTGCTTTAGGTAAGGCTGACCTTGGATGGAGTCCTAAATGACCACGACACCTTATAAGACAGTCTCCAAATCTCGGAAAGGACCTTGGCTGTTCTGGCTGCTAACATTGTTGCCTGATAAAAGTATAAGTAGGCTAAAATTCTGAGTTAATAAGACCGAAATGTTCAAGTTATGAGAAGAAAGTGTTCCACTCTAATCTGTACTCGAAAACCTTACCCGTTTCAAGGAGTCATTCTTTGGGAAGTTTATGGATCAGTGTTTCTCAACCTCCTTAATGCCATTACCCCATAGTACAGTTCCCCATGTTGTGGTGACCCCCAACCATAAAATTTTTTTTGTTGCTACTTCATAACTGTAATTTTGCTACTGTTATGAATCGTAATGTAAATATAAAATATGCAGGATGTAATTTCATTCACTGGACCACATTTTGCACAGATACCTGATACGCCCAAATCTGAATACTGGTGGGGTTGAGGGGGTTGATTTTGTCATTTGGGAGCTGTAGTTGCTGGGATGTATAGTTAACCTGCAATCAAAGAACATTCTGTACTCCACCAATGATGGAATTGAACCAAACTTGGCACCCAGAACTCTCATTACTAACAGAAAATATTGGTTGGGTTTGGTGGGCATTGATCATTAGTTTTGGAGTTGTAGTTCACCTACATCCAGAGAGCATTGTGGACCCAAACAATGATAGATCGGAACCAAACTTGGCATTATTATTTTTTTGCCGTGTCAGGAGCGACTTGAGAAACTGCAAGTCACTTCTGGTGTGAGAGAATTGGCCGTCTGCAAGGATGTTGCCCAGGGTACGCCCGGATGATTTTGATGTTTTTATCATCCTTGTGGGAGGCTTCTCTCATGTCCCCGCATGAGGAGCTGGAGCTGATAGAGGGAGCTCATCCTCCTCTCCCCGGATTCGAACCTGCGACCTGTCAGTCTTCAGTCCTGCCGGCACAGGGCTTTAACCCACTGCTCCCTCGGAGGCTCCAAACTTGGCATGAATATTCATTATACCCAAATGTGAAAAATAATGGAGTTTGGGAAAAATAGACCTTGACATTTGGGAGCTGCAGTTGCTGGGATTTATAGTTCACCTCGAATCAAAAAGAATTCTGAACCTCACAAATGATAGAATTGGGTCAAACGTCCCACACAGATAATGTGTTTTCTGATGGTCTTTAGTGACCCCTTTGACACCCCCTCGTGACCCCCAGGTTGAGAAACACTGTTGTAGATAAACTGAAGCAGGTTCAGAGAATGAAGGAAAGATGTCAGCAGTGGGGTTGTGCTTTTGGGGTAAATCTTGACCCATTTCGTGTCCCAGCTTTCAGTGGGGGCCCCAATCCGTTTTTTTGGGAGCATAACCCAGACAAGATGGGGTCTCATGCTCAGCTGAAAAGCAGATTGGGATATAGGATTTGAGCCTGTGTTGGACTGGATGATGCTCTGTGAAATTTCATGTTTGCAGCTTAGATTCAGATATGCCCAGATTTCAGCAGTTGCCAGTTGTGTGTTTACACAGTTAAAACAAGTATATCAGCTGTGTGTCATAGAATCATAGCATCAAAGAGTTGGAAGAGACCTCATGGGCCATCCAGTCCAACCCCCTGCCAAGAAGCAGGAATATTGCATTCAAATCACCCCTGACAGATGGCCATCCAGTCTCTGTTCAAAAGCTTCCAGAGAAGAAGCCTCCACTACACTCCGGGGCAGAGAGTTCCACTGCTGATCGTCTCTCACAGTCAGGAAGTTCTTCCTCATGTTCAGATGGAATCTCCTTTCTTGTAGTTTGAAGCCATTGTTCCATGTCCTAGTCTCCAAGGAAGCAGAAAACAAGCTTGCTCCCTCCTCCCTATGACTTTCCCTCACATATTTATACATGGCTATCGTATCTCCTCTCATCCTTCTTTTCTTCAGGCTAAACATGCCCAGCTCCTTAAGCCGCTCCTCATAGGGCTTGTTCTCCAGACCCTTGATCATTTTAGTCGCTCTCCTCTGGGCACATTGTCTTCTTTGAGGTGTCAAATTTGGTCATAGTAATCCAGGCTTTCATTACATCTTTGGGTTACTCTTACGTGCTCTATATTGGGCTGCTTTTGGAAACTATTTGCAATCTTCAACAGGTTCAAAATTCTGCTACTAATTTACTGACTGTGGCAGGACATAGGGTACATATGACCATTTGAGAAATGGCTGACTGATCCAGTTCTGGGCAGATTTCAAAGTGATGGATATGACCTTTAAAGTCCTACATGGTTTGGCTCCAGATTACCAGAAAGCACGGGCCCTAAAATCTGAGAGAGACTAGGATAAAAGGGAGGGGGTGGAAGATAGATGAATCTCATTATTGGCTGAAAAACGCAGGTAAAAAGGTGCACTTAAAATCTGATTTTGGCTGAAAAATGTGCATGCTTGCATCACTGTATATTCCTGCACTCAGGCATGTAGCCGGGGGTGGGGGTGGGGGGACTTGAGGGGCTCCACCTCCCCCCCCCCCGAAATTCTCAGGGTGGTCCATGAGAAGCCCTTACTGATACATTATATAAATTGTTATGTTTATTCKTATCACCATTTTCAATATATCCCATATGCATGGGGGTATTGGGATAATGATACAAAAGGTTTGGTAGGGTAGATCCTCATCCCCGCCCCCCAAATCAAAATCCTGGCTATGAGCCTGCCTGCACTCAAGGAAAACTTTATTGCAATACACTGATGTGGACTGCTCCAGTGAATGTGCGCATTTTAAAATCCTGAAACAACTGATGAGGGCTGTAAAACAGATGGAGCCATGGACACATAGGTGGCTAAATGGAAGCACAAATGGAAAGCAATTCCCTTGAGAACTCTCTGCAACCATTCCTTTGTTCTCATATTTATGGAATTGAACTAGAGCTTGAATGTATTATCGAAGGTTTTCATGGCCGGAATCACTGGGTTGTTGTAGGTTTTTCCGGGCTATATGGCCATGCTCTGGAGGCAGTTTTTCTCCTGACGTTTCACCTGCATCTATGGCAAGCATCCTCAGAGGTAGTGAGGTCTGTTGGAAGTAGGAAAAATGGGTTTATATATCTGTGGAATGACCAGGGTGAGACAAAGGACTTTTGTCTGCTGGGGCTAGGTGTGAATGTTTCAGCTGATCACCTTGATTAGCATTCAATGGCTTGGAAGTGCCCGGGGGGAATCTTTTGTTGAGAGTGATTTTATGTGCCTGTTTGTTTCCCCTCTGTTGTTTTGCTGTTGTAATTTTATAGTTTTTTAATACTGGTAGCCAGATTTTGTTCATTTTCATGGTCAGGAGAAAAATTGCCTCCAGAGCATGGCCATGTAGCCCGGAAAAACCTACAACAACCCTAGAGCTTGAATGTTTTGAACTTGTAATACGCTGCCTCTGAGTATGGTGGAATCTACATGTGGATTGTAGCAGAAGAGCGTTGGACTAAATGACCATGGTAGTTTCTTCCAAGACTAAAATTCTGATGCAATTTGAGGGCACTTGGAAATGACCACAGCCTCCTGAAATCCATACTTTGATTTAAAACACACACACACATTAAAGCTGTTCTTTTATCATTTAGGTCTTATCTGGGAATCTCTGGGAAGAACGGCAAAGGCGCCGTGGTCGGCTACGTTCCAGACCTCAGTGCCATCGAGCTGGGCCTGAAGGGGAACCAGCACTGCCATTCCAGTTGGGCCACCAGCAGCGGCTATGACGTTGAGAAAGAGAGGGCTCGCCGGAAGCTTTATCTCGCCTCGGTCATCTGCTTGGTCTTCATGACCGGGGAAGTTGTGGGTAAGACTGCTCCCGATCAACTGTCAGAAGGAGCCTTGCTTTAATTTATTATGGAGCTCATACTTTATTCCTGTTAGATACAGACTGAAACCCCACTGAGGTTTGGTTCTGAGACCCCCTGTGGGTACCAAAACTTTTGGATGGCCAAGATCCATAAGATACGAGGGTTACCCAGAAAGTAAGGTTACAAGATTTTTTATATAAAAAAAATACAAGGAATGAATATATTTTAATAAAACTTTCATGGATTGTAGGATAGGGATTCCATTATTTTTCCACATAATCACCATTCAGTTCAGTACATTTTATCATATGTGGGACAAGTTTTTGATGCCTGTGTTGTAGAAGTCTTCTTCCACCTTTTTCAGCCAGTTTGTCACTTCGATTTTCACCTTCTCCTTATCGGAAAAATCTTTTCCACCCGGGTGTTCCTTCAATTTAGTGAACAGATGAGAGTCACTGGGTGTGACATCAGGGCTGTGAGAGGGGTGGCTTAAAACATCCCAATCAAATGAAGTCAACATTTGTGTTGCACGAGCGATGTGCAGGCGCACATTGTCATGAAGGAGACAGACTCCCACCATCAGCATCCCACGACGTTTGTTTCGGAGGACTCTGCGAAGTTTTTTCATAGTTTCACAATAAATTCCGTACCCATTTTGTCACATGCTGTCTTGACATGACATCCTCTCCATAAACAGAAACCATTTTGCAATGAATCGCAGGGGAGTTCATGCCCTTAGCATTTAGGTCACACAAACTTCGCACTTGGAGGGAAACGGAATGAAGACACTCATCTCTAACATTCATCACAACACCAGTCGATGAGCTACTGACGACTGGCACTGCTTGTTTGCTTCCGCTGGCTTTCCGCTACATGGCAACTCCCCCCCCCCCTCAAAAAAAATTCCCCACAAGAGCTATTTGCCTTGCAACCTTACTTTCCGGATAAACCTCGTACTATGGTGTAGGACAGTGGTTCTCAACCTGTGGGTCCTCAGTTGTTTTGCCTTCAACTCTCAGAAATCCTAACAGCTGGTAAACTGGCTGGGATTTCTGGGATTTGTAAGCCAAAACACCTGGGGACCCACAGGTTGAGAACCACTGGTGTAGGAGAACGATGTCTTTTAGATAAAATGACAAAATCAAGGTTTTATATTTGGGTTTTAAAAAATATTTCCAAGCCATGGATGTCGGAATCCTTGGATTCAGTATCCAGATTGGATTATTGCAGTGCACTCTACGTGGGGCTGCCCTTGAAGACGGCCAGGAAATTGCAGTTGGTACAAAGATCGGCAGCCAGATTACTAACCGGAGCAAGCTACAGGAGTGTTCAACCTCCCTCTTCAAACAGCTCAAATGGCTGCCAATGAGTTTCCGGTCCCAATTCAAGGTGCAGGTGATTACCTACAAACCCTAAATGGTTAAGGAACTGCCTATCTTCGCGATTGCATGTTTCCCTACGAACCAACACGAGCCCTAAGATCATCTGGGGAGGCACTTCTCTCGCTTCCACCTCTGTCTCAAGCTTAGTTGGTGGGGATGAGGTAGAGGGCCTTCTCGGTGGTGGCCCCCCAACTCTGGAACTCTCTTCCTAGGGAGATCAGACCAGCACCTACCCTGTCCATCTTCCACAAGTACCTAAAAACATGGATGTTCCGCTTTGCCTTTGACTAGGCAGTTCAAAAGAATTATCCCAATGTTACCTAAGTTCCAGCACTTTAGCATGGCCCTCCGCTCTACAATCCTGACATTTTAATGCCCATGAGCATTATCCTCCCAGCCCTGCCTTTCTGAATTTTGCACTTTTCCTTAGCTCTATCTAGGAATTTGCACAAACCCAGAGCCCTCTGAACTCTGCACTTTTATCGTTCTGTATGGTACTGTTTTTATGATGATATGTTTTATTGTGATATGTTTTTATTTGGATTTGTTTTGATGCTATCTTATTGTGTTATGTTTTTAACTTTGTGCTCTCTGGGCTTGTCCCTTTGTAAGCTGCCCCGAATCCCTTAGGGGAGATGGAGGCAGGGTATTAAAAAAGTTATTATTATTATTATTATTAATAATAATTTTACTGACACAAAAACACAGTATGTCACAGCAAATGAGATATATATGCTGGAGTTCATATCACAAAATCACAACTTCCCAAGTTTATAGGACTGTGTGATGTATTTTCGAATGATGCGCACAGATCCAAGTAAGGTGGCCTTTTGCGGCTGACAGATCGTGATTTTGTCAATGTTTATTGTTTCCAAATTCCGGCTGAGATCTTTTGGCATGGCACCCAGTGTGCCGATGACCACTGGGACCACCTGTACTGGTTTATGCCAGAGCCTTTGCAGTTCGATTTTGAGGTCCTGATAATGGTTGAGTTTTTCCTGTTGTTTTTCCTCAATGCGACTGTCACCTGGTATGGCGACATCAATAATCCAATTATTATTATTATTATTATTATCATCATCATCATCATCATCATCATCTATGGATAATAATCCAAACATTATTACTATCATCATCATCATCATCTGTGGTTGACTGCATGCTCTTCCTAAGACTGCAGCAGCAGCTTGTGAATGTATTTGTGAGTGTGTCACATATTTAACACCTTCGTTTCTTTTTTAACAAGCCCGAACATGTTGCATTGTAGTGTGGCAGGAAGAAGATTGAGCTAAAATCTTTTATCTTCACCATAGCAGCCTTCCTTAGGCAAGCACTCTTTCTTGACATGCATCGAGAGAAATACATTGGGTGTTGCATAGTTTTGAATTCTTTTCATGTTGTGATTAGTTTAATGCTGAGTTTTTGTGTGTGTTTTAGCTGTGTTGTACTTGTTTCAAATTACACATCATGTTGTTTCCCAGTTTTGAGGAAATGGCAAGATATAAAAATAAATAAGCAACAGTAACAACGTATGTGCCTGCAAAAAACGAGTATAGCACGTGGGAGACTAGACTAGGATCTTGTTCTTCACCAACGCTGCGCTTTTTGGTTGATATCCTTGATACAAGCAAGCGACAAACAAGGCCCTGCTTTGTGATCCCCCTGTCCTTATTTTTCTTGGTAATCTCTGCATTTTCCCCAGGAGGATACATTGCCCATAGCCTGGCTATTATGACAGATGCTGCCCATCTCCTGACTGACTTTGCTAGCATGATGATCAGCCTTTTCTCTCTCTGGATGTCATCTCGTCCTCCCACCAAAACCATGAACTTTGGCTGGCACCGTGCAGGTAACTTAGGCTTTGCAAACTTCCTGCTTTGTTATGTTATGCCTTAAGTCAGTGGTTCTCAACCTTCGTAATGCCGCGACCCCTTAATACAGTGCCTCACGTTGTGGTGACCCCCAACCATAAAATTATTATTATTGCTACTTCCTAATTATAATTGTGTTACTGTTATGAATCATAATGTAAAAATCTGAAATGCAAGATGTATTTGCATTCACTGGACCAAATTTGGCACAAATACCCAACAACAGCTCTCCATGCCGTCATGTCAACCACATGACCTTGGAGGTGTCTATGGACAACACCGGCTCTTTGGCCTAGAAATTGAGCACCAACTCCCAGAGTTGGACATGACTGGACTTAATGTCAGGGGAAAACTTTTACCTTACGTTACCCAATATGCCCAAATTTGAATACTGGTGGGGTTGGAGGGAAAATTGATTATGTCATTTGGGAGTTGTAGTTGCTGGAATTTATAGTCCACCTACAATTAAAGAGCATTTTGAACTCCACCAATGATGGAAATGGACCAAACTTGGCACACAGAACTCCCTCAACCAACGAAAAATACTGGAAGGGTTTGGTGAGCACTGACCTTGAGTTTGGGAGTTGTAGTTCACCTGCATCCAGAGAGCATTGCAGACTCAAACAATGATGGATCTGGACCACACTTGGCACAGATACTCAATATGCCCCAATGTGAACACTGGTGGAGTTTGGGGAAAATAGACCTTGACATTTGGGAGATGCAGTTGCTGGGATTTATAGTTCACCTGCAACGAAGAGCCCCCGCCTGCTCCACACCCCTGCCTGCTGGCGGGAGAGCGAAGCAGGAGAGGGCGCCTGGCGCAAGGCCTTGTGCCAAAGGGCCCCCGCCTGCTCCGCACCCCTGCCTGCCGACAGGAGAGCAAAGCAGCCGAGGGGCGCCCAAGGAGCCACTCGCCCATCCCTCACCTCCTTCTACCATCAGAAGGAAGCGAGGGACGGGCGGATGGCTTCGCGCGTGGCCTAGCCGCCCACGGAGCCGCTCGCCCGTCCCTCGCCTCCTTCTGCTATCACAAGGAGATGAGGGACAGGCGGATGGCTTCGCGCGCGGGAGTGCCAGTGTCTCAGGGGGTCAGCTGCCATTTTGGAGGGGGCGTGGCCAGCCAATGCGGGTTCGCGACCCCCAGAAAATGGCCAAACGACCCCCAGGTTGAGAACCACTGCCTTAAGTCTATCCCAATTTATGGTGATCCAATTATCCAGTTGCGTTCTCTGAAAAATTGTTCAGGTTTGCTTTTGTCTCCCTTTGAGGTTGAGAGAGTGCGACCTGCCCAAGGTCTTGTTAGGGAAAACTACCCTAAGAATATACAGCAGAGCATCCAAAAACAAACAGAATACCAAAGTTGAGCATCAAATCATTAGTGAGCAAAACGTGATGTGTGATGTGGCTGTAAAGCAGTGTTTCTCAACCTTCCTAATGCCGCGACCCCTTAATACAGTTCCTCATGTTGTGGTGACCCCCAACCATAAAATTATTTTCATTGCTACTTCATAACTGTCATTTTGCTACTGTTATGAATCGTAATGTAAATATCTGACATGCAAGGTGTATTTTCAGTCACTGGACCAAATTCGGCAAAACTACCCAATACACCCAAATCTGAATACTGGTGGAGTTGGGGGGATTTATTTTGTCATTTGGGAGGTGTAGTTGCTGGGATTTATAGTTCACCTACAATCAAAGAGCATTCTGAATGCTCGACGATGGAATTGAACCAAACTTGGCACACACAACTCCCAAGACCAACAGAAAATACTGGAAAGGTTTGGTGGGCATTGACCTTGAGTTTTGGAGTTGTAGTTCACCTACATCCAGAGAGCACTGTGGACCTGAAGAATGATAGATCTGGACCAATTTTGGCACAAATACTCAATATGCCCAAACCTGAACACTGGTGGCATTTGGGGAAAATAGACCTTGCCATTTGGGAGTTGTAGACACTGGAATTTATAGTTCACCTACAATCAAAGAGCATTCTAAACCCCACTAACGATAGAATTGGGCCAAACTTCCCACTCATAAATCCCATGACCAATAGAAAATATTGTGTTTTCTGATGGTCTTTGGAGACCCCTCTGACACCCCCTTGTGACCCCCCCAGGGGTCCCGAACCCCAGGTTGAGAAACACTGCTGTAAAGGATTCAGACCTTAGGAGGTAAACATGCAGAGTCCAGTCTTTAAAAAAAATCAGAAATAAGAAATAACCGCATTTCTTAATAATCAAGAACTGGGTCCGAGCTACTCTAATGCCCATCTCTTCTAAGGTTTCAAGAGGGAAAAACACCAACCACTACATCTCTCTGATACACACACACACAGAGAGAGAGAGAGAGAGAGAGATCTCAATGCACACAGCACATACTCTCCATACTTAAGTGTAAGAAGGCAGGTACAAAAAAGGCTTGAAGTAGAATAATATCCATTTTAAACAACCAATCAGAATGAGAGCAGAAAGAGAAAAGAAAGAAGAAAAAGATACATTCCCGACTGTCATTCAAGAGACATTGGGGACGGGAAACCCTTAGTCTGTACTAAGCAAACTACACTGTTTTTCATTGAGGACTTGAGACTTGGGCAATGTGGGGTTGAATTCCAACAGGTCTCCCAGTGGGTTTCTATGGAAGGCTGAGGACTTGAAGCATGACCTCCAGAGTCTTTGTCTGTCATTCAAACCACACCAACACAATGGCTCTAAATGTACAGCTTACACCAGTGGTTCTCAACCTGTGGGTCCTCAGATGTTTTGGCCTTCAACTCCCAGAAATCCTAACAGCTGGTAAACTGGCTGGGATTTCTGGGAGTTGTAGGTCAAAACACCTGGGGACCCACAGGTTGAGAACCACTGGCTTACATTGATGCTCTGTCCATTGGAATTCATGTTAATCAAGGATATATCTCCCCAATAAAGCCATACTATCCCTACGTATAGACTGAGACATGTGTAGCCAAGCAGCATCATATGTGGCCAAAGTGGCAAACATTGTGAACACACAAACCAGGAGAGCCCACAGCAGTTTGTTTTGCCCAAATCTACAGGGAACAGTGAAATCCCAACCCTTTTCCTTCTCTTGTTGGATTAACTGAGTGAAATCTACTTTTACACTTTGAACTCAGCTCTCAGAAACTGAAATAAGCTGGAGAATAGCTGGGAATGTGAGAAGAGGAAAGTAAAAGCAAGCAATGATTGCTATGGGTTATTATTATTATTATTTCGGTCATTTGTACCCCGCCTTTCTCACCCCCTAGGGGGGACTCAAGGCGGCTTACATCTGGCACAATTCGATGCCCACAATTACAATAAAATGCAATAACAATAACACAGTAGATTAAAAACAGACAATTTATACAGTACAATATAACACAATACAATATCAACTAAAACCGCTCTAAAGCCTGCGTTCATCGTGTTCTAAAATCCATCAATCCGTTTAGCATTGCTATAGTCCTTTCCAACTCTAGTCATCTCTAGTCATCATTACCTTGTTACCCTGCCAGACTACCCAAATGCCTGGTCCCATATCCATGTCTTCAGCTTTCTCCTGAAGGAGAGGAGGGATGTTGACAACCTAATTTCCCCGGGGAGTGAATTCCACAGGCGAGGGGCCACCACTGAGAAGGCCCTGTCTCTCGTCCCCACCAGCCTCACTTGTGATAAAGGTGGGGCCGAGAGCAGGGCCTCCCCAGAAGATCTTAAACTCCGTGGTGGGACATAGAAGGAGATACGTTCGGACAAGTACACTGGGCCGGAGCCGTAGAGGGTTTTAAAGGTCAAAACCAGCACTTTGAATTGTGCTTGGAACTGGATCGGCAGCCAGTGGAGCTGACGTAGCAGAGGAGTGGTGTGCTCCCTGTATGACGCTCCGGTGATTAATCTGGCTGCCGCCCGTTGGACTAGTTGAAGTTTCCGAACAGTCTTCAAAGGCAACCCCACGTAGAGTGCGTTGCAGTAATCTATTCGGGATGTAACAAGGGCGTGGACCACTGTGGCCAGATCAGACTTCCCAAGGTTGGCTTGTTGGGTGCGAACTTGGTGGCTTCTCTCACATCTCAAGGTGTATTGTATTTGGCATTGGATATAAGGCAGTGATATAAGGCCAGGAAATCAGTAGACGCTTACTTCTTGAGAGGAGAGCAATGTCCAATCTTGATAAAATAGTGAAGAGTAGAGACATCACACTGGCAACAAAGATCCGCATAGTTAAAGCAGTGGTATTCCCCATAGTCACCTATGGATGTGAGAGCTGGACCTTAGGGAAGGCTGAGCGAAGGAAGAGAGATGCTTTTGAACTGTGGTGCTGGAGGAAAGTTCTGAGAGTACCTTGGACTGCCAGAAGATCCAACCAGTCCATACTTCAGGAAATAAAGCCCGACTGCTCATTGGAGGGAAGGATACTAGAGACAAGGTTGAAGTACTTTGGCCACATCATGAGGAGACAGCAAAGCCTAGAGAAGACAATTATGCTGGGGAAAGTGGAAGGCAAAAGGAAGAGGGGCCGACCAAGGGCAAGATGGATGGATGGCATCCTTGAAGTGACTGGACTGACCTTGAAGGAGCTGGGGGGTGGTGACGGCCGACAGGGAGCTCTGGCGTGGAGTGGTCCATGAGGTCACGAAGAGTCGGAGACAACTGAACGAATGAACAACAACAACAACAATAAGGCAGTGTTTCTCAACCTTCCTAATGCCCTTAATACAGTTCCTCCTGTTGTGGTGACCCCCAACCATAACATTATTTTCGTTGTTACTTCATAACTAATTTTGTTACTGTTATGAATCATAATGTAAGTATCTAATATACAGGTGTGCGTTCATTCCCTGGACCAAATTTGGCACAAATACCTAATACACCCAAGTTTGAATACTGGTGAGGAGGGGGATTAATTTTGTCATTTGGGAGTTGTAGTTGCTGGGATTTATAGTTAACCTACAATAAAAATCATTTTGAACTCCACCAATGATGGAATTGTACCAAACTTGGCACACAGAACTCCCATAACCAACAGAAAATATTTGAAGGGTTTAGTGGGCATTGACCCTGTGTTTTGGAGTTGTAGTTCACCTACCTCCAGAGAGCACTGTCGACTCAAACAATGATGGATCTGGACCAAACTTTGCACAAATACTCAATATGTCCAAATGTGAACACTGATGGAGTTTGGGGAAAATAGACCTTGACATTTGAGAGTTGTAGTTGCTGGGATTTATAGTTAACCTACAATCAAAGAGCACTCTCAACCCAGCCCATAATGGATCTGCAGCAAACTTGGCACACTACCTATATGGCCAACATTGAACACTGGTGGGGTTGGGGGGGTTGTTTTTGAATTTCAGGAGTTGTAGTTCGCTAACACTAAAAAGGAAGAGAATGATAGGTGGAGAGATCGTCAGCCTTCTCTGCCAAAGGGGTTCCTAAGACCATCAGAAATATGTGTCTTCTGATGATCTTTGGCGACCCCTCTGGCACCCCCCTCGTGACCCTCCCAGGTTGAGAAACACTAATATAAGGCATATGTTTTTGTGTTGTTGTTATATGTGATTTATATTATTTTGTATTGCTTTGTATTGTTGTTATTGCTTTTCTGTTGTGATGTGTTGTTGGGCTTGGCCTCATGTAAGCCTCTCCGAGTCCCTTGGGGACATGGTGGCGGGGTATAAATAAAGTTTTTTTATTATTATTATTATTATTATTATTATTATTATTATTATTATATCCAAAAGTAACCCCAAAGTAAATGCACTTTAGATCATTCTGTCAACCTGTACCTACTATTTCAATATCTGATGCTCAACCCTATATTCTTGGTTTTGCAGAAATTTTGGGAGCCCTCCTGTCTGTGTTATCCATTTGGGTAGTAACTGGTGTCTTGGTCTACTTAGCGGTGCAACGGCTCCTCTCGGGAGATTACGAAATCGAAGGGAGCGCCATGCTTATCACCTCCGGTTGTGCTGTGGTAGTGAACATCATGTATGTATTACCTTGATATAGGGTTAGATGTTGAAATCCGAGTGCTCATGGTGACAGGTCCTATCGTTGTGGTCTCAAGAAGGGTCCAAAAATGCCAGCAACCCATGTGTGCCATGTCAACAAACTAGTTTTGTTGCTATTCATACCACTAGAAGCAAGTCTTTTATAAAATGAGTAGATCTCAATTACCGACATAAGACTAATCCACAACCAAATTATTTGTTCCTAAATGCCGAGATTGTGGTAGCAGATGATGCCATCATCTTTGCTACCATCAAAAAGCCCCCGTGAAATAGAGAGTGGGCAGAAATACAGGCAGTCCCCGAGACACGAACAAGGTAGGTTCTGTAGGTTTGGACTTAAGTTGATTTTGTATGCAAGTCGGAACAGATACATTTTTAAGTGTAAGTCCAGCCACATATAGGGATGTTACCATTCTCTTTCCTACCCAAAACTAAAAGAATATCTATCTACATGTCATATAGTTTTGGATAGTATAGGGAACGGTTATCACCCCTGTAATTCTTCTTTTGCTGTCTGTGCCCCTGTTCAGAGGATTTCACCTTACTTTCTGTCTCTGTGATAATTGAATTCTGAAAATTTTGGCTTGTTGTGGAAACAAGGATTTTTTAAAATCATGTTAGAAGCCACTTGGGAATATGCTGTAAGTTGCTTCCGGCGTGAGAGACTTTTCTGTCTGCAAGGGTGTTGCCCAGGGGGTGCCCGGATGTGTTGCCATGCTGTCGGAGGCTTCTCTCGTGTCCTGTTGCACCTCAGCTGAGATACACTTTGCTCAAGCACTCACCAGGAAGCCCAATGTAAAAATAGAGAGTTTATTGAAAAAAAAACACACAGTATAAGAGTAAAAATTCCACATAGATAAGATAAAAAGAGTTTCACAAAACCAGAGTTAAAACTCAAATGCAAAGGAATATAAATCCAAGGAGCAGGGTAAACTCATGACCTTGAATAATCCAGAGATGAGGAATAAAACATCCACTTAAGTGATCCAAGAATCAAAGAACAACACATTAGCTTGAGTTCATGGTAAAATCCCCAAGACTTAAAGCAAAATTTGACCAGGACATGACTTGAAGCGAGAACCAAGACAAAAGATCCTTGCTGTAATTGCAAAGTTGCTTGATCGGAAAAACCGAAAGCAGTTTTCCCCCTTAATAAGGACAGCAGTTCATGAAAGCATTCCTTCGGCTGCTTTTTCCCATCGCTTGACTTGCATCTGGAATTCTTCCCATGGAGAAGCAGTCTTGCCTCTCTATCTAATCTCTCTTCCATCCTGTCATTCTGCAAAACAATTTCGTTTTCACACACAGAGTCCTCCGTTCTCCCAACTGGAGAATTGCCTTCCTGTTCCAACATCCCCTCTGTCTGAAAAGGGCCTGCACCCCCAGACCTCTCATCAGCATCCTCAGCTGCAGGCCCTGCACCCCAGACCCCTCATCAACATCCTCAGCTGGTGGCCCTGCACCCCCAGACCCCTCATCAACATCCTCGGAGGCCCTGCACCCCCAGACCCCTCATCAACATCCTCAGCTGGAGGCCCTACACCCCCAGACTCTTCATCAACATCCTCAGCTGGAGGACCTGCACCCCCAGACCCCTCATCAACGTCCTCAGCTGGAGGACCTGCACCCCCAGACCCCTCATCAATATCCTCAGCTGGCTGAGCTACAACATGTCCCCGCATGGGGAGCTGGGGCTGACAGACAGGAGCTCACCCCATCTCATAGATTCGAAGTTCCTTAAGTTGGAGATAGTCAACAGATGGAAACCCAGTACAGCATGGCTTTGTTACGTGGGAGTAGATTCCATAACTCATTTTTCTCAGACTTCTGGGAATTGATGCAGAGTGGCTTGAGATGTCTCATCTCAGAATGCAACAGGAGCTGTGGTTTTCTGTGGTATCTTTCAGGGTATCTTTCCTTGATGTTTGCTCTTGATCTCTTCCTACAGAATGGGAATCTCCCTCCACCAGTCGGGACACGGTCCTGGCCATCACAGCCATAGCCATGGGGAGGGGAGGCAGAACACCAGTGTCCGAGCGGCCTTCATCCATGTGGTCGGGGACCTTCTGCAGAGCATTGGAGTCTTGGTCGCAGCCTACATCATTTATTTCAAAGTAAGGACACACATGGAGTGGAATTTTTCAAAGTCTTTTCTTAAAATTGTAATGTTTGCTTAATTTACAAATTAGCTTGGGTCCCCGCCATTGCCCAGGTTATTTGAAAAGTCGATTTTTAAATTGTACAAAATGCATAAGGTTGTGGGTGAACTACAACTCACATCATGCCAGGTTAACCCCAAAAAACTCCATCAGTACTTAAACTTTGTTGTGTTGGGCAAGTTAGCTTTAGATATGTCATCAGTGTGATTCTGTGTACTCTCTGGCAGTAGGGTAAACTGCAACTCCCACTATGGTGAGTGAGTCCCCTCAAACCCCTACAGTAGGTTCAGTTGGTCATGGAGTTCTGTGTGTCAAGTTAGGTCTAGGTCATCATCGGTGAATGTCACGGTTTCTCTAGTTGTGGGTGAACTACAACTCCCAGAAAGGAAGGTCAGTTGCCCCAAAGCCCCCCAGCAATTAAATTTTGGCATATCATCCACACTGGGATTGTGGCGCAGCTGGCTGAGTGTCAACTGCATTAAGATCACTTTGACCAAAAGGTCATGAGTTCGAAGCCAGCCCGGGTTGGAGTGGGTTTCCAACCAATTGTGTAGCCTGTTGTTGACCTTTGCAACCCGAAAGATAGTTGCATCTGTCAAGTAGGAATATTAGGTACCACCTTAAAGTGTGGAGAGGCTAAATTAACTCATTTATGAGGCCATAAAAAAGACTCCAGCAAAGCACTCCAGCAAAAAAGCATGCGGGGAATGTGGAAGTGCTTCATCAGCGTCGCAGATGGACGATAAAAGCGACAGCTCCCCTGGCGGCCAGAAAAAGTTAAATAGCCTCTGTGTATGTCTGTATATGTTGTATGTTAAAATTGGCATTGAATGTTTGCCATATACGTGTACACTGTAATCCGCCCTGAGTCCCCTGCGGGGTGAGAAGGGCGGAATATAAATGCTGTAAATAAATAAATAAATAAATGAAATAAATCTATGTGTGCCAAGTTTGGTCCAGATCCATTGGTGTTTGGTTCAGATCCATCCAGTGCTCTCTGGATGTAGGTGAACTACAACTCCCCCAAATCAAAGTGAATTTTCCCTAAAGACAGCCAGTATATTTTGCTGGTCTTGGAGGCTCTGTGTGCCAATTATGATCCAATTCCAACTTTGGTAGAGTCGAGAGTGCTCTTTGATTGCAGGTGAACTATAAATCCCAGTACCTACAACTCAAAATGGCCAAGTCAAATCCCCTCAAAAACCCACCAGTATTCAAATTTGGACATATCGGGTATGCATGGCAAGAGTGCTCCAAATCCATCATTGTTTGTGTTCATAGTGTGTTCTAGGAGCCCCTGGTGGCGCAGTGGGTTAAACCCCTGTGCCGGCAGGACTGAAGACCGACAGGTTGCAGGTTCGAATCTGGGGAGAGGTGGATGAGCTCCCTCTACCAGCTCCAGCTCCTCATGCGGGGACATGAGAGAAGCCTCCCACAAGGATAATAAAAACATCAAATTATCTGGGCGTCCCCTGGGCAACGTCCTTGCAGACGGCTAATTCTCTCATACCAGAAGCGACTTGCAGTTTCTCAAGTTGCTCCTGACATGATTTGTTGCAGTAATTGAAGTGATCCGAGCACAACAGGGCACATGGGAAGAGGAAACCGGGACCTTTTAAAAGCAGCTGAAAAAATGGGATGGCAGGGGATTAATTGAGACTGTCCCTGACAAATCAGAATGGTTGAAAGGTATAGAAACGTTCACTACTGACCCACAGTATGTAATGCTTGAGGTGACTAACTCCTTGTGTCTTATGGTGAACTGCAGAAAAGGGATTCAGCTCATAGACGGCTCATTGTTTGCATTTGTATCCTTCCAGCCAGAATACAAATACGTAGATCCCATCTGCACCTTCCTATTTTCCATCCTGGTCCTTGGAACCACTCTGAGCATCCTCCGAGACGTTGTCCTGGTGCTCATGGAAGGTACATCTCCTTTAGATTGTGGGATAAATGGGATTTGGGGATAAAGCTGGAATACAGACTCTAAAGGCATCGAATTCTGTCTGATCTTAGAAGCTGAGCAAGGGCAACTCTGGTTAGTACTTGGATGGGACTTCCAATGAATTCCAGATGTTATCGCAGGCATGGTCAAACTTCGGCCCTCCAGTTGTTTTGGACTTCAACTCCCACAATTCCTAATGGGAGTTGAAGTCCAAAACACCTATAGGGTTGAAGTTTGCCCATGCATAATCATAAAGTGCTTGGTTGTTGTAGGTTTTTTCGGGCTATATGGCCATCTGAACACGAGGAAGAACTTCCTGACTGTGAGAGCCGTTCAGCAGTGGAAATCACTGCCCCGGAGTGTGGTGGAGGCTCCTTTTTTAGAAGCTTTTAAACAGAGGCTGGATGGCCATCTGTCAGGGGTGCTTTGAATGCAATATTCCTGCTTCTTTGCAGGGGGTTGGACTGGATGGCCCATGAGGTCTCTTCCAACTCTTTGATTCTTTGATTCTATGATTCTAGAGGCATTCTCTCCTGATGTTTCACCTGCATCTATGGCAAGCATCCTCAGAGGTAGTGAGGTCTGTTGGAAATAGGGGAAAGGGTTTATATATCTGTGGAATGACCAGGGTGAGACAAAGGACTCTTGTCTGCTGGAGCTAGGTGTGAATGTTTCAACTGACCACCTTGATTAGCATATAATGGCAGTGCCTAGAGCAAACTTTTGTTGAGAGGTGATTAGATGTCCTTGTTTGTTTCCTCTCTGTTGTTGTGCTGTTGTAATTTTAGAGTTTTTTTTTAATACTGGTAGCCAGATTTTGTTCATTTTCATGGTTTCCTCCTTTCTGTTGAAATTGTCCACATGCTTGTGGATTTCAAGGGCTTCTTTATGTAGTATGACATGGTGGTTGTGAGAGTGGTCCAGCATTTTTGTGTTCTCAAATAAAATGCTGTGTCCAGGTTGGTTCATCAGGTGCTCTGCTATGGCTGATTTTTCTCGTTGAAGTAGTCTGCACAGAGAAGCCATTGAAATCCACAAGCATGTGGACAATTTCAACAGAAAGGAGGAAACCATGAAAATGAACAAAATCTGGCTACCAGTATTAAAAAAAACTCTAAAATTACAACAGCACAACAACAGAGAGGAAACAAACAAGGACATCTAATCACCTCTCAACAAAAGATTGCTCTAGGCACTGTCAGGCCATTATATGCTAATCAAGGTGGTCAGTTCAAACATTCACACCTAGCTCCAGCAGACAAGAGTCCTTTGTCTCACCCTGGTCATTCCACAGATATATAAACCCTTTTTCCTAGTTCCAACAGACCTCACTACTTCTGAGGATGCTTGCCATAGATGCAGGCGAAACGTCAGTGGAGAATGCCTCTAGACCATGGCCATATAGCCCGAAAAACCTACAACAACCCAGTGATTCTGGCCATGAAACTTTCGACATACATAAAGTGCTTGGCTTTGTATTTTCCATTCGGCTGAAGATAATTTTTAGTAAGCGTCGCTGTTATTGAACTGACGCTTGATGCTGCTCTTGCATCGGATTTCTTGACTTCCTTTTTGAATGAAGTTACGGTCTATTCATAGTAAACCTAAAAGAGTGATTTTATCATTCTTCCTTCCTCTGGCTTATGAAAAGCCAGTTTTAATAAGAAATAATATAATACATCTGCATATGCTTGTAATATAATATACCTGCATATGTTGGTTTACCCAGCGAGCCTTTAAGCATGAATGTTAAATGTGTGTCCTTTGTTTAATCTCTGTTTTGTGTATTTTAACATGTATTTTATCGAAGTACGTTTTGAATATGTAGCTTTTATAGAAGTAATTTTTTAATATATGTATTTTGTAGTAGTTTTACAATGTTTATGTGTTTTAATGGGGGCCCCCGGTGGCGCAGTGGGTTAAAGCACTGGGCTGCTGAGCTTGTTGACCAAAAGGTCGCAGGTTCGATTCCAGGGAGCGGCGTGAGCTTCCGCTGTCAGCCCTAGCTTCTGCCAACCTAGCAGTTCGAAAACATGCAAATGTGAGTAGATCAATAGGTACCGCTCCGGCGGGAAGGTAACGGTGCTCCATGCGGTCATGCTGACCACATGACCTTGGAGGTGTCTATGGACAACGCTGGCTCTTCGGCTTAGAAATGGAGATGAGCACCACATCCCAGAGTCAGACATGACTGGACTTAATGTCAGGGGACAACCTTTACCTTTACCTATGTGTTTTAATTATTCCATAACCCATAAGTCATCAATTACTACCACCCTTTGGAAATCTTACCAGCTTCATAGGAAATCTGCTACAAGACAGGAGCTTTTTTTGTTGAGTTCCAGGGTCAGACAAGCAGATGGCAAAAACAGAAGCCTGCCTCGGGGGAGCGTGCTTGCTCCATCATAGTTTAACATTGACACATATGATCAGCCACTGCCAGAAAGTTTCATCTATGCTGATGATCGTGGCATCACCACCCAAGCAGGGAGCTTTGAAATAGTTGAACAGAAGCTCTCCAAAGCTTTAGGTGCTCTTACTGCCTATTACAGGGGAAACCAGCTGATTCTTAATCCATCTAAAATGCAGATGTGTGCTTTTCACCTTAAGAACAGACAAGCATCTCGAGCTCAGAGGTTACCTGGGAAGGAATCCCACTGGAGCATTGCAGCACATCCAAATACTTGGGAGTCACTCTGGACCATGATCTGACTTACAAGAAGCACAGTGAAGACATCTGCCCTTGCACTTTGCTACTCTGCTGCTGAGTACGCATGCCCAGTGAGGAACATATCTCACCACATTAAAATAGTGGATGTGGCTCTTAATGAGACAAGCTGTATTATCACAGGACCAAGGCAGTGACATCTCCAGCTCACCCTCTGTTATGATATTAGCCAGTACACCAATGCCTTAAATCAAGAAATAGCTTCCTCAGATCCACAGAGATACTCGCAGGACCACTTCAGCAAGCGAGAGTCCAAAAGTGGCAGGTTAAAACCCGGAACCTCAATCAGTGGCTGGTATCGAATGAGAGACTCCCTCCTGGGCACACAAAATAAGGGATGACTTTTTATGCTCCATTTCTAGTCCAGGCTCATTTTAATACCATCTGAAGCCCCATCTGCACTTTCCTATAAAATCCTATTATATGGCAGTGTAGACCAGATAATCCAGTATGAAGCAAATAATGTGGATTGTCCGCTTTGATAATCTGGATTATATGGCAGTATTTATTTATTTATCGTGTCATCAGCAACCATACAATTGTATTACATTTCTAACAGAACAAAACAAACACACAGATTTTTTTAAAAAACACAGATTTTGCAAACTTGGTAGTTGTTTAAATGTCCTTTGACCAGTATCTGGCCACTTGGAGTGCCTCTGGTGTTGCCGCAAGAAGGTCCTCCATTGTGCATGTGGCAGGGCTCAGGGTGCATTGCAGCAGGTGGTCAGTGGTTTGTTCTTCTCCGCACTCGCATGCCGAGGATTCCACCCTGCAGCCCCATTTCTTAAGATTGGCTCTGCATCTCGTGGTGCCAGAGCGCAGTCTGTTCAGCGCCTTCCAAGTCGCCCAGTCTTCTGTGTGCCCAGGGGGGAGTCTCTCATCTGGTATCACCCATGGATTGAGGTGCTGGGTTTGGGCCTGCCACTTTTGGACTCTCGCTTGCTGGGGTGTTCCAGCGAGTGTCTCTGTAGATTTAAGAAAACTATGTCTTGATTTAAGTCGTTGACGTGCTGGCTGATACCCAAACAGGGGATGAGCTGGAGATGTCTCTGCCTTGGTCCTTTCACTATTGGCTGCTACTTCCTGGCGGATGTCAGGTGGTGCAATACCGGCTAAGCAGTGTAATTTCTCCAGTGGTGTAGGGCGCAGACACCCCGTGATAATGCGGCATGTCTCATTAAGAGCCACATCCACTGTTTTAGCGTGGTGAGATGTGTTCCACACTGGGCATGCATACTCAGCAGCAGAGTAGCATAGCGCAAGGGCAGATGTCTTCACTGTGTCTGGTTGTGATCCCCAGGTTGTGCCAGTCAGCTTTCGTATGATGTTGTTTCTAGCGCCCACTTTTTGCTTGATGTTCAGGCAGTGCTTCTTGTAGGTCAGAGCACAGTCCAAAGTGACTCCCAGATATTTGGGTGTGTTGCAATGCTCCAGTGGGATTCCTTCCCAGGTAATCCTCAGAGCTCGGGATGCTTGTCTGTTCTTAAGGTGAAAGGCACATGTCTGTGTTTTAGATGGATTAGGGATCAGCTGGTTTTCCCTATAATAGGCAGTAAGAGCACCTAGAGCTTCGGAGAGCTTCTGTTCAACCATCTCAAAGCTCCCTGCTTGAGCGGTAATGGCACGATCATCAGCATAGATGAAACTCTCTGTCCCTTCTGGCAGTGGCTGGTCATTTGTGTAGGTGTTGAACATGGATGGAGCAAGCACGCTCCCCTGAGGCAGGCCGTTCTTTTGTTTCCGCCATCTGCTTCTCTGGCCCTGGAACTCAACAAAGAAGCTCCTGTTTTGTAGCAAGTTTCCTATGAGGTGGTATTCCTTTGTGATATTATACATTTTTCTCAGGAGGAGGCGGTCGTTCACAGTATCATAGGCTGCTGACAAGTCTATGAAGACAGCTCCTGTGATCTGCTGCCTTTCAAAGCCATCTTCTATGTGCTGAGTCAGGTTCAGCACTATATGGCAGTGTAGAGGGGGCTTGATTCAGGCCCGACTTCTACATTTTGTTTGGTCTTTTGTTTTGTTCCAAACTCCTCATCACCACCCTTTGTTCTTCTATAGGAACCCCCAAAGGTGTGGATTTCAACAACGTGAAGATGACCCTGTTGTCGATCAATGGGGTGAAAGCCCTCCACAGCCTCCATATCTGGGCTCTCACGGTGTCTCAGCCTGTCCTCTCCGTCCACATTGCCATCAGTAAGTTTCTTGGGGAAAATTAGGCTGGGATTTGCGTTGACACTTACTGTCCTAAACATGAAGACCTTGGCGCATTGCTTAGAAAAGTCGGGTCCATATTGTACACTGCCATATAATTCCAGATTATCTGCTTTGAACTGAATTTTATGTGTCTACACTCCCATATAATCCAGTTCAAAGTAGATAATCCGGATTTCACATAGCAGTGTAGATGGAGCCTCAGAATCCTCTTGTTACCTTGGAAAATGACCATGCGGAGCAAGGGATTCCGAGAGCTACCGGCTGTTAGGAATTGTGGGAGTTGAAGTCCAAAACTTCTGCAGGGCCCAAGTATTCCCATGCCTGGTGTAGATCCTTTGACTGATGAGGTCCTTTGTTGTTGTCATTCCCAGACGAAGACTCAGATGCTCAGACAGTGCTGAAGGAAGCTAGTTCCCGACTGCAGCGAGCCTTCAATTTCCACACGACGACCATCCAGATCGAGAACTACTCTGAGGACATGAAAGACTGCCGGGCCTGCCAGAGCCCCTCCGACTGAGCCTTGTGGCAAAAACCTGTGGATGGATGCCTGTCCTTTTCGACGAAGCTGCTACCTCGGAGTTTCTTTCTGACTTTGGGACCAATCGTGGCCAAAAATAACTCACTTGTACCTTGCAACAAACCGTCCTTGGTTTGTTTGGGAGCCAAGCAAAGAAACACTGTCCCTTTCCCGTTCTCTTGTAGTGTTTCCCCCCCTTCTGTTCCTTTTGTGTCTTTGTTAGTCCTCCTCTCTCTTTCCATAAATTTTAAGAATGTGAAATGAAACAGCAAGATTTATTTACTTGGCTACGGTGTCTGTTTAATGTGAGTGATCTCTTCAATCAGAATATGGATTCTTGACTTAGGGATGCACTTATGACGAGCATTTATTAAATATTTCCTCTGACCCACTTCTATTTATCACAGGATGCTGAAACTACACTTGTGTAATGATATAAGTCTCTATATGTTATGTGCCAATTTACAATTCAGAACTGATAACAGTCTTGATTTTCCAGGTGCTGAAGTGGTGTGAGGTTTGAGAATGGACCCAGTGGAATACAGAGCAGTCCTCGAGTTCTTTGACTTGAAAGGCTGCACACATAGAATCATGGAGTTGGAAGAGACCTCATGGGCCATCCAGTCCAACCCCCTGCAAAGAAGCAGGAATATTGCATTCAAAGCACCCCTGACAGATGGCCATCCAGCCTCTGTTTAAAAGCCTCCAAAGAAGGAGCCTCCACCACACTCCGGGGCAGAGAGTTCCACTGCTGAACAGCTCTCACAGTCAGGAAGTTCTTCCTAATGTTCAGATAGAATCTCCTTTCTTGTAGTTTGAAACCATTGTTCCGTGTCCTAGTTTCCAGGGAAGCAGAAAACAAGCTTGCTCCCTCATCCCTGTGACTTCCTTTCACATATTTATACATGGCTATCGTGTCTCCTCTCAGCCTTCTCTTTTTCAGGCTAAACATGCCCAGCTCCTAAAGCCGTTCTTCATAGGGCTTGTTCTCCAGACCCTTGATTATTTTAGTCTCCCTCCTCTGGACACATTCCAGTTTGTCAATATCTCTCTTCAATTGTGGTGCCCAGAATTGGACACAATATTCCAGGTGTGGTCTAACCAAGGTGGAATAGAGGGGTTGCATTACGTCCCTAGATCTAGACACTATACTCCTATTGATGCAGGCCAAAATCCCATTGGTTTTTTTGCCGCCACATGACATTGTTGGTTCATGTTTAACTTGCTGTCCACAAGGACTCCAAGATCTTTTTAACACATACTGCTCTTGAGCCATTCTGTATCTTTGCGTTTCATTTTTCCTGCCTAAGTGGAGTATCTTGCATTTGTCCCTGTTGAGCTTCATTTTGTTAGTTTTGGCCCATTTCTCTAACCTGTCAAGATCGTTTTGAATCCTGCTCCTGTCCTCTGGAGTACTGGCTCTCCCTCCCAATTTGGTGTCGTCTGCAAACTTGATGATCCTGCCTTCTAGCCCTTCATCTAAGTCATCAATAAAGATGTTGAACAGGACCGGGCCCAGTTTGGAACCCTGCGGCACTCCACTTGTCACTTCTTTCCAGGATGAAGAGGAAGCATTGATGAGCACCCTCTGGGTTCGTCCATTTAACCAATTACAGATCCACCTCACCGTAGTTTTGCCTAGCCCACATTGGACTAGTTTGTTTGCCAGAAGGTCATGAGGGACCTTGTTGAAGGCTGAAATCCAGGTACGCTACATTCGTGGCATTCCCCGCATCTACCCAGCTTGTAACTCTATCAAAAAAAGAGATCAGATTAGTCTGGCTTGACTTGTTTTTGATAAATCCATGTTGACTATTAGTGACACCAAAGGGGATGTTGGATGAGATGAAAGAGGTTTATGGTGATGATTCCCCATCATATGATGTAGTCAAGAACTGGCATTGTCAATTCAAATGTGGTCGGACTTTGGTGCAAAGAGATCCAATTCCAGGGCGACCCCACTCTGCTATTGACGAACACACTATCCATCAAGTGGAGGTCGCCATTTTGGAAAATCACCATATAACCACCACCTAGCCCAAAATGTCAAGATGAGTGTGGGGTCCATGGAGAAAATCATCCAAGACCATCTTCACATGCATAAGGGATCCACTTGCTGGATCCCTTGGCTGTTCACACATTTCCAGAAGCAGGAATGAGTCAAATGCTCTCAGGCTCTATTGACAATGTTGTGACATAGAAACCAGGAGGAATTTTTCACCAGACTGATCACACAGAATGAAAGCTGGGTCCATCACTATGATCCTAAGACTAAAGTCCAGTCGATGCAATGGAAACATCATGACTCACTCAGTCGAAAGAAGACATGTGCCCAACTCCCGACAGGCAAGGTCATGCTCACAGTATTTTGGGATCAGCACGGAGGAATAATGATGGATTTCCTAGCAAAGGGTCCCATGATCACTGGGCCATAGTATGCTTCACTGCTGAGGAAATTGTGGGAGGCCATCAGAACCAAGAGACAGACATGTCACGCTCATTAAAGGTATCCACCTTCTGCGAGACAATGCACCAGCTCACAACTTACACGTTGCCCAAATGGAAGCAAGCTCTGTGGCTTTGAAATTCTCCTGCATCTCCCTTATTCACTCGACCTCGCACCATCAGAATTCCACCTCTTTCCAACAATGAAGTTATTTTTGAAGGGCAAGCATTTTTCAGATGATGATACTCTGATTTCCGAAGTCACAATGTGGCTTTTGGAGCAACCTGCCGACTTCTACAAGCGAGGTGTTTACAGTTGCTTAAAAAGATGGGAGAAGTGTATGTCCCTAGGTGGCACCGATGGAGAGAAGGACTCTGAACTGGGCCAAGTTTCATTTCTCTCAGTCCACAGGAAGTGGGTCAGGGGAAATCTTGAATGAATACCCCTTATTATTATTATTATTATTAACTTGGGGCCCTTCCTAACAGTCCCTATATCCCAGGATATGATCTCAGGTTTTCTGCTTTAAACTGGATTATATGACTCCCTATTGCCAGATAATCTGAGATAAACAGAAAACCTGGGATCAGATCCTGAGATAATAGGGCCTGTCTGGAAGGGGCCTCAGTGTTACGGAATTGTGGAATTGTCGTTTTACAAGGTATCTTCCAAAGACTCCTGGCCTCTCAGCAGTGTATAACTCCCCTACTCCCCTAATACTATTGCATGATGTTACGGTGGAGAAGGTGGTCTCAAACTCCATGAATTCTGCAGTGTAGATGCACTTACAAGGTCTCTCCAAGAATCCTTCCACACAACAAATTCTATAATGATGATCCCACTTTAAATGCCATGGTTTCTTCCCATGGAATCTAAGCCAAAGTGCTCCTATGCTGCACTGAACTATAAATCTCAGAATTCCATAGGCCTGAACATGGCCGTTAAAGCGTAATGAAAGGACCCCTGCTATATCACAATTGTAGATTCATGTGTTCCTTAGGGACAGGCATCTCTTTGAGGATGAGGAGCAGGAATGTCTGTTTTTCAATTTCCCATAGGGACCAGTAATTCGCAAACTGTTGCGCTCCAGGTAGCGTATATTCCGGCATATAAGACGACTGGTGCAAAGATTTCTAGGTGCAAAGATTACTGCAGATGCAGACTGTGGCCAAGAAATCAGAAGACGCTTACTTCTTGGGAGGAGAGCAATGTCCAGTCTCGATAAAATCGTAAAGAGTAGAGACATCAGACTGGCAACAAAGATCCGCCTAGTCAAAGCCATGGTATTCCCTGTAGTAACCTACGGATGTGAGAGCTGGACCTTAGGGAAGGCTGAGCGAAGGAAGAGATGCTTTTGAGCTGTGGTGCTGGAGGAAAGTGCTGAGAGTGCCTTGGACTGCGAGAAGATCCAACCAGTCCATCCTCCAGGAAATAAAGCCTGACTGCTCATTGGAGGGAAGGATACTAGAGACAAAGTTGAAGTACTTTGGCCACATCATGAGGAGACAGCAAAGCTAGAGAAGACAATTATGCTGGGAAAGGGAAGGCAAAAGGAAGAGGGGCCGACCAAGGGCAAGATGGATGGATGGCATCCTTGAAGTGACTGGACTGACCTTGAAGGAGCTGGGGGTGGTGACGGCTGACAGGGAGCTCTGCCGTGGGCTGGTCCATGAGGTCACGAAGAGTGGAGACGACTGAACGAATGAACAACAACAAGACGACTGGGCGTATAAGAAGACCCCCAACTTTTCCAGTTAAAATATAGAGTTTGGGATATACTCACCGTATAAGACTACCCCTCTTCCAACACACACCAAATAAAATTTAAAAAACATCAGATTTTATTTCAATTTGGTAATTTTTCTATTACTGTACCTCCTCCTCTGCTTCTCAGATCTCACACCTGCGCACCTGCACTACTTCACTTCAGTCTTCAGGAGCAAGATCTGAGAGGCAGAGGAGGAGGTATGGTAATAGGATACAAGGGCGGGACAGACAGGTAAAAGAGGTGTGTTTTTCTGGGCGCAGAGCCACTCTATCTCTTTTTTCCATACCCCAGGTGCCCCGGACGCCTGCAGCTTGCTCCACCCTTCACTTACACCTTCCTGGTGAGGTGCCCCTTCACCTCACCATCGGGACTGTATTAAGTCCACGAATCCTGATGAATGGATTTTCTTCTACCGTACTTGTACAGCGTTGCCCTTAATACTTTCATATAGTCGCTGCATACAGCAGGGACACGGCCACTGCCATTTTTGAGCTCCACTGCTATTTTTTAGCTCCCCCCACCATATGCGGCAACCACAGATTCTCCAATTCTGATTGGAAGTTTCAGCACTCGTTCTATAAGACGACTCCTGGCATATAAGACTACTCCCAGCATATAAGTCTACTCATGGTGTATAAGATGACCCCTGACTTTTGAGAAGATTTTTTTGGGTTAAAAAATAGTCTTATATGCCAGAAAATACAGTATTTTGGGCGTCAACTCCCAGAATTCTCAGTTGCCTTGGACAACACTGGCATAGACAACACTGGCATACACTGACCGCCGCTGTGACGGTCTGGATGAGGGTGAACAAATTGAAATTGAAATTGAATCCAGACAAGACAGAGGTACTCCTGGTTAGTCATAAGGCCGAACAGGGTATAGGGTTACAGCCTGTGTTGGATGGGGTCGCACTCCCCCTGAAGACGCAGGTTCGCAGCTTGGGTGTGATCCTGGATTCACCGCTGAGCCTGGAACCCCAGGTTTCGATGGTGACCAGGGGAGCATTTGCACAGTTAAAGCTTGTGCGCCAGCTGCGCCCGTACCTTGGGAAGTCTGACTTG